TAGACGTCGTTAATGTTCACCCCCCGCATGAGTCGCGCCCCCGTCCGAAGATCCTTAACAAAAAAAATGTAAAGGAAAGAATTCAACGAAAACTTGGTTAGTTTTGCAAAGTTTAGCAACCGAGATGAGATGATGACGCAAACGCGGAACGAGTAAGACATTAGATAAATTTAAATAGCGGGAGAAAGTGGGAATCGATGCATGACTGATATGAGAGATGGAGAGGGTATTACCATTTCCGAGAGTGATCTCATCGGGTCCTCCATATTCGGATAGGTTGTGTAAAAGTGCTTGGTCAGATGTGGCATGGTTAGAGGCTCCACTGTCAAACATGAGCGAAGGTGGGGAGTTTGCCATGGAAACGTTGATGATCGGTTTCGTTGGTGCCAAAGCAAGATTATTGTGTTGCAAGAATCGTGCAAACTTCTGACACTCCTTGGTTTCGTGACCTAGAATATTGCAGAATTGACAGAAAAAATTATTACGATTAGTTCTGAAATGTGACAAGTGACCAGTGTTCCCATTGTTAGGGTTTCGTGTGCCAAAGATATTTGGCCTGGGTTGGTTTCTGGCGGCTGAAATATTCGGCCTGCTTGAGATTGTATCTGGCTAGTTCTTTGCATGAAATTGATAGTAGTAATTGGCTCAGTAGGTTTGGCCTCCAACAAAGACCTTTCATGATCAATCAACTTCTCATAGAGATCAAAGAAGGCAATGGTAGTGTCCCGAGTCTTTAATGCAACGGCAATCTCCTTGTAGTCGTCACCAAGGTGAGCGAGAATGTGAACAGTAAGGTCATCATCATCGATTGGTTTTTGTGCCAAGGCCAATTCATCAGCAATAGCTTTCATCTCTTGGAGATAATCAGCAACGGGTCTGCTTCCTTTGCTGGTTGTGGTGAGTTTGGTGCGCAAAGAGATGATTCTGGATCTGGAGACACTTGCATAGCTTTCAATTAGACGGATGAAGAGTTGGCGAGATGTTTCCGCAGAGGAAATGATTGGCTGAATGGTGTCGGAGCAACTCCCAAGCAACGCACCAAGGAGAACTTGATCCTAGCGGTACCAGGTACGATAAGCAGAGTTTGATTTTCCATCTATGTTTTTCGGTGGTGGTTCGGTTGAGCCATCCACGAACTGTTCAAGTGCGAGTCCAGTGAGGGTGGAGAGGACCTGCTTGCGCCACGAGGGGTTTGCTGTTAGTTTGATGGGAAATTTGGTGGTTGTGGAGAGTGGGATGATTGTGGTGGAGGTAGCCATTGCGGCGGCAGGAGAATAGAAGACAGTTGGGATCGAAAAAGAACTCAGGGGAGTCACAGGGCTCTGATACCATATAATGTTTGAATGAATCTTGATTTATTATTTACAGAGTACAAGGCTATAAATAGAGAGCTGTACAACAAGAAGGAGAGAAATACAAGGAGAAATTAATCCTAAATATGGAAAATATACAAATGTAAATGAGTCAGCAAGGATGAAGGAAACTGATGATAGACACACTTGATTTTAGGCTTTTGATTTGGTATTCCTTATATCCTTTTTCTTTTAAGTTTTACGACAACAACAACTACTCAATGGGTTTGGTACTTTTCTTTTGAGTTTAGGGAGGTTTTACGATTTAAAGTATCTGGACTTAAAGGATCAGCAAACACTTCACAATATGTTTGTAGAATTATTCGCCTTTACAAACAAGCAATGCGTGCGAACAACACAATAAGTGTTTTGGTAAAAAATCAGACTCTCAACTGACGACGATATTTCCTTCGACCGCAACGACTATAATCAAAATTCATATGACCAACGACCGTGATGCCTATGATCGTAGTTATATATGACCACAAGACCGACGATCCTTAGTCGAAGGTTTCCTACAACTATAAGATCTATGACCTTTGGTCGAAGATTATTTATCTACAATCGAAGTTTCCTTCGACGCATTAAACTAACTGCATATTAATTACAACAACCGTCACGTGGAGTTTTATCGCAGGAATAAAGACAAACACAATTATTAACTATGGAAGATTATAACGAAAAACCAAGATCCAAGATATCAATGTCAACTGTTTCCTTCATTTAATCACATTTAAAGTTGACCATTGAACCTCTTCGATGAATCACCTATAAGAGGCCAAAAGATCTTAAGAACAACCTGTGGATCATCAGAAGCTTTACGCATATGAATTTTATTAGCAGAAGCAACTTTTGTTCTTTACTATTTTCCAGACATATGTGTTACTTTGTTTACATCGTTATAACTATTGTCAAGGACGACGTCTCTAGTTAACGTCCATAGTGCATCAACGATCTCTTGTATCATCTGCGATTTTCCCCTCGTTTAAGGGTTTTTCCGCATCACCAATTCGTTTGTCTCATTTATCTTTGTCTTTGTTATTTGTTAGTGTTTATTTCAATGTGATTGATCTTTAATTGTTAAAGCCCCATAAACACCGATTACTAACAGTTCCTTCTATAGAACAACTTTTTTCATAGGATGACAAGCTCTGGAATTGATCAATGACTAAACCCCTTGCTCAATTTTCTACTGGATTGCCATCAGACATCGGGTTTCCTTTATAAGAACCCATGCCCTCAACAACGCCAGCAATCACCAGCTTACTCCCTTCACCACCAACGACTCTGTTCATGACCCTTTTTTCCACGATTCTTGACACCTATGACATTTCCATTGATACTGATACCTTCTATTCCCATTATAAGTTTATCACTTGCTCCTGTTAATGGTGGAGCAGAGTCATCTCATTTTCAAGGTGCACATGCCACTATAAGCCTCCCCACCCAAAATTCGGGAGTTACTCCACCCTTTCCACAAAATCCTAACCAAACCTTTGATGACCCAGTTGCTCGACGACTAAGGTTCCTCAAAGAGAAAAAAGAAAAAGTATTATCCTTGTTAAGAAGCTTCTCCATTAGCTGACAATATCACTCTAATCTATATCATTCCTCTGAACCATCAAGAAGTATGCATTTTGATAACTCTCATTTTTTTGTGTTATTTCTTATTTATTTCTTTCATTTTTGCATATATTAAATACTCTCTTTTTTTCTCCGTTTATTCTAAAAGTTTTAAAAAGATAATGAAACACAAAGGATGAAAATTTATTCCAAAAACCATCACTTTGAAATAGTGCTCAAAGTGTCACACAATGGGAAGTTTATGAATTTTTTGATATGGCTTAACTTTTGGGAGGATGTTTTCTTGAAGATCTTCCTTAAATATATTCTACAGCTGGAGCTGCCCTGGAAAGCTGAGCTTTGAATTAAAAAAGACTATTGGATGGATTTTAACCCACAAGATATTTGAACGCTGCATTTTCTTTAGGTAATAAAGATCATCCTTATCCTCTTCTCCCCTATATAAAGAAGCCAAGGGCTCATTTGATGTTCATCTATATCTATCACAACTCGGCTGAAGTCTCTCTACTTCTACTCTTAAGTTAAGTTCAATATTTAATTTTCATGTATTAAGCTTCTTAAACGTAATCAGTTGCCCAACTCACCATTGTGGTGGCAGACTTTTCATCTATTTTAATGGAAGTTACATTTAAGTTTTATTTCTTATCTTATATTATGCTTTCCTTGTCTATTATGAGCTAATTACTTCTATGGGTGTGGGTTTAAGTTTAACTTAGGATTTTTATGCAATAATTGGGTGTTTTTATTCTTTACTACTTTGTAAACTTGGTCATTTAAGTCGGGACTAAAACTCAACACGGATAAGTCGATTACTTTGAAGTATTAATATTATGTCGTTGACCCAAAGATAAGCGGATTTGAAATACGACTTAAGTGATGCACAAAGACTTGAGAAAGTCTTTGATAATTACGTAGAGATGCGAATTTTGTATGTATTTAGCTAAGGATCAAGCATTGGAGATTTGTATTACAAAGAGATTTGAGTATGGATTTCATTTCTTTTTCTTTTTAGCAAAATCAACAAGCTTCAGAGTGGTAAGAGTGAGAACTTTTTAGGATCTGTTTATAAATCTTCACTTTCGAGAGATTGAAATTTTTAGAAATATCTCATAAGTTTCTAACCATTATATTGTTGTTTTTATCTTAAGGAATACTTACACATACATTGATGCTCATCTTTTATTTATAAGTCTATTTCATATTTTAAAGCTTTTTACCAACAAAAATCCAACTTTTAATCACAAACAGAAACATGCTCAAGAAGTTCATGAAATTCTCTAACTCTCAGTAGTTCAATCCCTGTGGAAACGATCTCGATATTTTACTACTCTATTACTTGCAAGCGATCATAGTGTCGACGTGCACTTGCACCGCCACTGTGGGGACTTTGTGCCCACTATGTAAACACGAACGATTCATAGTTTTTGGCGCCGTTGTCGGGGATTGGCATGAAATTTTATCCTGAGATATTGACTTTCATTTGAGCCTTGATCATTCATTTCATTCGCATTTTCCATGTTGTATGCCATGACTACAACACAGTGAGCTTTTACCTCTCGATCTTGAATTAGAAAGAACCATTAGAAGATGTAGAAGAGGTAAAGTTAATCGACAAAACCTCAATTAAAACCGTACCATGGGGGATATTCCACCACCACCTCCTCGGGAGGCCACAGTTAAAATTACCGATGATAAAACTAGATGAATACGAGACTACGCAACTTCTTGAATTTGGTCAATTGGCTGCAGGAATAGGTAGGCCCGAAATGACAACAATAGCTTTTGAACCAAAACCGGTAATGTTTCAAATGATTCCCGCAATGGGTCAGTTTGGGAGATTATCGTCAAAAGATTCGCACTCTCATTTAAAATCTTTTATAGAAATGACAGGTCATTTAAAGTTTCCGGAGTTACACAAAAAGCCTTACGCTTGACACTTTTCCTTTACACATTAAAGGATAGAGCTAGAGCATGGCTAAATTCTCAGCCACCAAACTCGATCCTCACTTGGAATGATTTGGCTAAAAATTTTCTAAAAATATACTTCCTCTAACAAGGAATGTGGAAATTAGAAATGAAATTATGAAATTTCGACAAAATGAGGATGAAGTGCATTTGGACGCATGGGAGAGATTCAAGGACCTTCTACAGAGGTGTTCTCATCATGGAATCCCTCATTGTATTCAATTGGAAACATTTTACGATGGATTTTCTAGTGCCGCTAAAATTATTCTTGACGCAACGGCTACTGGAGATTTCATAGCTAAAAGTCTAAAACCTACAACGAGGGGGTATGATATTTTGGAGAAAATTTCTAATAATAATACTGAATGGTCAAACTGTCTTCCTGTTGTTTCTAAATCCGCCACAGGCATTCATGAACTTGATGCCATCTCTTCTTTAAATGCACAAATTGTAGATTTAACTAATTTGGTTAAAAACAATTTAAACTTAAATAGGAAAAAGAATCAAGTACAATCCATAATGTCTAAGTCGTCTATGACTGAATCTTGTGCTTTTTGCGGAGAGGGCCATTTTTATGAATATTGCCCCGAAAACCATGTCTTAGTAAATTATGTTGAGAGTCATGCTAGAAAGAGCCCTTTCTTTCCCACATATAATTCAAATTGGAGAATCACCCCAATTTTTTATGGGCTGGAGATCCTGGACTTCAACCCCCTGGGGCAACCCAAGTCCAAAATCAACCACCAACTCCCCCAGGATTTGGGCAAGGTGCTCCTCACAATTACCAAAGTAGGCAACCCTCACAATCACACGTACCTAGGAAACAAAATGCATCGAACGGTAATTGTTTACTCGAATTATTACTCAAAGGTTTTATAAACCAAACTAATGCAATGTTAAAATGTTTCGAAAACTAACTCGGCCAATTTGTCGCCGATCTTAAGGGTAGACCTTTCGGAACTTTGCGTAGTGACACGAAAACTCCTAAGGGTAAGGAGCATATCAAGGTCGTAATCGTATTAAGTGAAGATATATCAAGAGTCAATACTCACACAAATGAAGCCTCCGAAAAATCGACCCATCAAAACGAGGTTCACACGCTTTTGATAGGTCAAAATTTCCAATTTTGAGTCCTCCCAATGGAGAAATTCAAAACCCAGCTCATGTCCAGAAAACATTCCCTGCATCCACAACCAACATACCTTTGTTCTCAGCTCAAACTTCCTATAGTGGGAAGACTGTGCCCACTCTCCAGCAGAAAAGGTCTAACCAACTAGCTCCAGATTTGCAAAATTTACCTTTTTCAGAAAGAATGAAAACCAAAAATATGGACGAGCAATTTAAGAAGTTTTTGAACATCCTTAAGCAACTTAACATTAACATACCTTTGGTAGAAGCTATTGAGCAAATACCAAGTTATGTTAAAGTTTTGAAAGACATTTTAAATAAAAAGAGAAGGTTGAACGAATTTTAGACATTTGCTTTGACCAAAGAATGTAGCGCACTCCTTACATGCAAAATTCCTCCCAAGCTTAAAGACCCGAGAAGTTTTACCATCTCATGTTCTATAGGAGGGAAAGAAGTAGGTCATGCCCTATGTGATTTAGGGGCAAGCATAAATCTCATGTCATTATCAGTTTCTATCAAACTCGGAATAGGAGAAATCCGTCCAACTATCGTGACTTTACAATTGGCAGATAGGTCCATTGCTTATCCCAAGGGTAAAATAGAATATTTTTTGGTCCAAGTCGATAAATTTATCTTTCCGGCCGATTTTCTAGCATTGGATTATGAAGCTGACAAAAATGTCCCAATCATTTTAGGTCGACCTTTTCTTGCAATCGGGAGAACATTAATTGATGTGCAAAAAGGGAAGTTAACCATGAGAGTAAGTGATCAGGAAGTGAAGTTTAATGTATTTAATTCCCTTAAGTTTCACGGAAAGGTTGGGGATTGTTCAGCTATCTGTACTTTAGGTGAAGATCTAGAGTTAAGTTTGATTGACTCTCCACACAGTAGTAACATTGGGGAAATATCTGAGGACATAATGGAGGAAAAGTTGAATTGGAAATTTTAGTTGCATTTGAACAACTTGACTTTAAAGATAAAACTATCCAAGCCCAATCTATAGAGCATGCCCCGGAGTTAGAATTAGAGCCACTCCCTAGTCACCTTAAGTATGTTTATCTTAACCACAAGGGAGGTGCCTGATTGGTTTGAGCTTGCCTCCAAAGGTCAAAAGTACCTCGAGATCACAGGTTCAAATCCAATGAGGAATAAAAATCCCCTTGTGGCCATGGAGGTTCAAATGCGGTAACTTCGGGCTATCTGTAAAGCAGGTGGTCTCCCTGGGATTAGTCGGCTCACATAGCGGGTTGGATATCCAGGTTAATAAAAAAAATATGTTCATCTTATGGAGAAGAAAAAATTACCAGTCATTATTTTCTCAGAATTAAGCAATGAACAAGAATTAAGGTTGATAGAGGTGTTGAAAGATCATAAAAGAGCTATAGGTTGGACCATTGCCGACATTAGGGGTATTAGTTCGTCTCTTAGCCAACATAAAATAATTTTGAAAGAAAATAGTGTTGGAAAGGTGCAACCACAAAGGAGATTAAATCTTGTCATGAAAGAAGTCGTTAAGAAAGAAATTTGAAGTGGTTGGATGCGGGTATCATATACCCCATTTCTAGTAATGGTTGGGTGAGTCTGGTACAATGTGTACCAAAGAAAGGGGGAACCACAGTTATCACCAATGATAAAATGAACTCATCCCTACTAGGACCATCATTGTGGCGGATTTGCATGAATTATAGGCAATTAAATCTAGCAACTAAGAAGGACCGTTTTCGTTTGTTCTTCATTGATCAAATGTTAGATAGATTGGCCGGAAAAGAATGTTATTGCTTTTTGAACGAATATTCGGGTTACAAACAAATTCACATTTCACCCGAGGATCAAGAGAAAACTACTTTCATTTGTCCTTTCGGCACATGCCATTTGGTCTATGTAATGCACCGACTACTTTCCACCATTGCATGATGTCAATTTTTTCAGACATGATTGAAGATACCATGGAAGTATTTATGGATGACTTTTCAGCTATCGACACATCTTTTGAAAATTGTCTTGCCAATATAAAGAAAAGTTTGGAGAGATGTGAGACTCATGATTTAGTTTTAAATTGGGAAAATGTCATTTTATGGTACAAGAAAGAATCGTTTTTGGGTCACATGGTTTCTAAAAATGGTTTGGAGGTTGATAAAGAAAAAATCGAGGTCATAATGTAATTGCCCGAACCATCTTTGGTCAATGGCATTTGTAGTTTTTTGCGACATGCGGGTTTTTACCGTAGATTTGTTAAAGATTTTTCAAAATTTCAAAACCTTTATGTAATTTATTGCATGTTGATCAAGTTTTTGAATTTACCTCTTATTGCAAAAAGGCTTTTGAAACTATCAAAACAGCGTCTCGGCACCAATTGTTATTGCCCCAGACTGGACCATACATTTTGAGGTTATGTATGATGCAAGTGACTGGGTCGTAGGTGCAGTTATAAAAAAAACAATCAAAGATTTTCCACCCCATCTACTACGCAAGTAAAAATTTGATGGAGGCCCAATTAAATTATACTACCACGGAAAAAGAATTACTTGCGGTAATATTTGTCTTTGATCATTTTTTATCCTACTTAATTGGCATTGAAGTCACCGTGCACACGAATCACTCTGTGATCGAATATATCTTTAATAAAGTTGATGCTAAATCAAAGCTTATTAGATGGGTTCTTCTTTTATAAGAATTTGATTCAGAAATTGTTGATCACAAGGGATGTGACAATCAAGTAGCGGATCACCTATCAAGAATTGAAGACAAAGTTTCAAGTGGGGGAAATCATGAGATAAAAGAATTTTTTTCTGATGAGTATATTTTGGTAATTCAACACAATTTTCAAAATGAAATTCCATGGTATGTTGATATAGCCAATTATCTTGCATGTGGTCTTAAGCCATATCATCTTCAAGGGAATCGTTTTAAAAAATTCTTTCGTGATTGCAAACATTACTTGTGGGATGATCCATTTCTTTACAAAATGGGAGCACACAAAGTTTTACAAAAATGCGTTCCAAAATATGAAATTCTCTCTTTGTTAAAAGACTGTCATGCATCTTCGTATGGTGGTCATTTCGGTGACAACGTACGCCCACAAAAATTTTACAAAATGGATTTTTTTTGGCCAACCTTGTTTAAGGATGCATTTGATATTGTAAAGCGATGTGATCAGTGTCAACGGATAGGAAACTTGTCCCTACGAAATGAAATACCTAAAACCAAAATTCTTGAAGTTGAACTTTTTTGACATTTGGGGAATCGATTTCATGGGACCATTTCCAAAGTCTTTTAATAATCAATATATCTTGGTTGCGGTTGATTATGTTTCAAAGTGGGTTGAGGCTAAGGCATGCCCAAAATTGACTTTTGCACAAAATTATTTTTGTTCGTTTTGAAACTCCTCGAGCCTTGATAAGCGATGAAGAGACGCATTTTATAAATATAATGTTATCTACCATTCTTGGTAAATACAACATCCAACATCGAGTTACTATGACCTACCATCCGCAAATAAATGGTCTTGTCGAACTTTTTAATCGTGAAACTAAAAACATTTTGAAGAAACTCGTAAAACCTAACCGTGACGATTGTCACTCAAGTTGGATGATGCGTTATGGGCATATTGAACCGCCTTTAAAATACCTTTGGGAATGTCTCTGTACCAGTTGATTCTTGTTAAAGCTTGCCATCACCAGCTAGAATTAGAGTACAAAGTTTTTTGGGTGATTAAAGAATTTAATTTAAACGAAAATTCTGTAGGAGAGAAAAGAAAACTTCAACTTAATAAGTTGGAAGAATGGCGATATTACCCCCTACGAAAATTCCAAGTTATATAAAGAGAACAAAAGTGTGGCATGATCATAGACTTAATCATCGCATTTTTGAAATTGGTCAAAAGGTCATTTTCTTTAATTCTCGATTAAGGTTTTCCCCTCGAAAAACTTAAATCAAGATGGTCAAGACCATTCACAATTGTCAATGTGGGGAAATTCGAAACGGTGGATCTTTTAAATCCCCATAATAAAGTGTTTTCAAAGTTAATGGGCATAGAGTCAAACATTTCCTCCCAGAGGGAATGGTTGATCCAACCCAG